ATGACATCATAGTTGGGCAGGACTTCTTCGGTGATTCTCACTTACTTCGCACCTTGCTACCTTGTATGGTAATCGTTTCTTCTTTTACTTTGTAACTTTCCAGAACCTGGTTCACTACAAGTAACATATCCCTATAAATGTTTATCCAAAGCGCCCATATTCATATTGAGTTTGAGGTCATTGAGAATTGCCTCATACTCTGTGAAATTATTTGTTTTGAGATTCTGGAATCCATGGGAGACAGTGTGGATCACCCGCTTAGGTGTTTCAATGACTATTCCCGCTCCTGCTCCACATTTTCCTACTGCTCCATATATGAACAAATGCCACAAAGTTGCCAATATTTGTCCCTTAATTGATAGGTGTGGAGCATATGTAACATCATACTCACTGAGCTCAACCGCCCACCTTTTCATCCTTTCGGACACGTCCATGCCCCCTTAATATCCTCTTCAGTGGCAAGTTTCATAGCACTGTAACTTGATGTTCTTGGAAATAAGGGCGCAATTTTCATGCTGCCGAGACCACTGCCAACAATTCCTTCTCCACTGGCATGTATCTCTTTTTTGTAGTGAGAAGCGTCGTGCTTACGTAATAAACTGGGCGGTCCAAGCCCTCTTCGACCTTCCTTGCTAACGCGGAGCTAACCGCTTGCTCCCATACTTCCAAATACAAGTAAAGCGGTTCTCCATTGATTGGGGAGCTTAACTCTGGACGTGAGGCTAGTTAGTCAGTCAATTGAAAAAATTCTGTCGCATTTTGCTCCCCACGTTAGTCAGATGCTGATTTTTTCAACATCTGGAAGAAGGGGGAGCACTTGTCTGTTCACTGGCGAATAAACTTACTTAAAGCTGTCATATTTTCATTGAATGTCTGGATCTACTTAATAGTCTTTGGCGGTGTTAGGTTGAGTATTGCTTCTATTTGCTTGGGGCTTGCTTAAATTCCTCTCTTAGTGATCATAAATCCTAAGAGCAGTTGCCTTTGCTCCGAATATGCATTCAAGGTGACCACCTGTGATGCAACCCTGGGGGGTTAGATTTTTACCAAAGTACGCAGCAACACAATCAATCCAAGGATTGGATTGATTGAAACGAAATTCGAACCAAAAACAAGGATATTCTTGGGTGTTTGGATAAAACGGAATCAAACGTGCAATCTTTCACGTGGAAGAAGGCTCGAATGATATAAAGGTAGATGCCCGGCCACGATCAACGCGTTCTTGATCGATACAAGAGCTCAACGAGCATGGAATCCACCAAACTCAACACAAGTACGTAAACTTGCAAAAACCCAAAGGTTCCAATTCAATTCTTCAAAATCTAACTATTACAACGAAAACTAGAGGGCTTTTGTAGCCAAAGAAAACCTAATACAATTATAAACTAACAAGGAAACCAATTAGAACTGGAAAAGGCTAAAGAATTCGTGTAAAACAAGGTAACTTGCAGGCCAAAAAACTGACTTAAAACATAAGCAATTCTGCCTAGGAAAACAGGCTTCATAGCATCTTTGAGCCCTTCGAAAATGGTCTTCTAGGTTGATTCGAACTCAACCAATTCCTTGCATTTGTAGAAGAAAACTCCCTCTTTCACCTCCAACTTGAACCAGCCTGAGATCATGCTGCAAACTCCAGATATAGGCCTTCAAAGTTGGTATTCCAAAACAGTTTCTGCCTTGGCCATTTTCTGGCAATTTTTCAGTTTTGAGGTAACAACTTTGGGGCCTTAGAAAACAACCTTAATGACATCATCTGGATCCAAAAAGCATACCATTGGAAAGATGGAAACTTTATCTGCAAAAAACCCCTTAAACTTGAATTTCCACCAAGCCAATTGAGAGAACCATGCCTCCAAGGTATGTATCCTGAACACGGATTTTGACTTAGCCAAATTTTGCCCTTCTTCTTCCCAACTTCGATAGCTTCTTCGTCAAGTAAAATAAACGTGTATAATGGACCATTTGGGATCATATCAACCTGCCTTCCTATGTTTCATGACAATTTCGTCCACGTATGCTTCCACATTCCTTCTCAGGTGGCCTTTGAAAATTTCCTCTATCATTTGTTGGTATATTGCTCCAGCGTTTTTCATCCCAAACGGCATAACCGTGCAGTAAAAGTTTCCCATGTGGGTCATGAAAGCGGTTTTCTCTTGATCTTCGTCGGAAAACCATATTGATGATAGCCACAAAACATATCCAGGAAGCTCAAGACTTTAGGATTGTCCATAGCATCTATTAGCCGATCAATTGTAGGAAGTGAATATGCATCTTTAGGACAAGCCACATTGAGATTTTTGAAGTCAACACACATTCTCCATAAGCCTGATGCTTTGCGAATGAAGACCGGATTTGCCAGCCAGGTCGGATATCTCACCTACTTCTTCTTCCAATTCTATTTTCTTTTTCTATGGAAACGTTCCTCCTCCTCTGTTGCACTGGCTTTGCCCAACTCTTTACTGACAGGTGGTGCTCGCCGAAGTCTCAAGAGATGCTTGGCATGTCTTCTGAACTCTACGCAAAGAGGTCCATGTACTCTCTCGAGAGTATCAAGAGCTTCCTCGACTCTTCTTTTATGAGATGAGATGGTATTCTAACTTTCTTCTCTGACCCTTCGTCATCTAATGCAACAACATCATCTTCTTCAACTGCTTCAGGTTAAAGGGTGTATCCTCGATTGTCAACAAGATCTACTTCCAGATTTTCAATGGTGGCTTGCTAACATTCTGCAGGTTTCCCTAGGCACGACCAATCGTTCTAGCAGTAAGAAATTTGAGCACCTGGTGGCACATGGAGGTAACCGCCAAAAAAGTTGTTAGGAAGCCACATCCGAAAATTGCATTGTAGGCAGACGGGCAATCTCCCACGTGAAAATCCATTAGGCATGTCTTTGTGACTCATGCTTCCCCAATCATCACCTTGACTGTGATGTACCCCCAGCACTCGGACCTTGGACCCAGAAAACCTGACAAGGCTGGTCGTTCAGGGCTTAAGGTTTGTAACGCTTTTCTTCAGGCTCCCTAGGGTCTAATAGAAAAGGATATCTACTGAGTTTCCATTGTCGACAAGCGCCCTTGTGATCTTGAACATCCTCATTCTAAAGGAGATCACAAGCGAGTCTTCAACATTTTTTTATGCTAGTTTTGCTATGAGAATTTTATCTATATGATATGAGCTTAAATTGCCTATATTCCAAGTCAAATTTGCTTGCTCAAGAAGCTAAGTCAACTCATTTGAACAATCTGGAATTTTGGCCAAGTATAAAGACGTGCTCAGGTAGCCGACTTTGGGAGCTTGGTTCCTCCAATTGGGTTGATGGAAATTAGAGGTTAGGGTGTTGTTTTGAAGATAAAAACGTGTTCTACAAGATGGCATGGGTTTCGGGTTCATACGATGTCATTAGGGCTGCTTTCCAATACCTCAAAGTGGCTATCTCAAAACTGGCAGACTGCCAGAATTTGGCCAAGTATGGAAGTATGGTCAGGCAGGCCACTTTGGAGCTCCATTCAAGTCGGAGGGTTGAGATTCGAGTCTGGAGCTCCATACCCCACAAAAGTACGTTTATTCTTCTACAAAGACAAGGCATCAGTTGAGGGATTGCCCACCAGGAGGTCTTCGATTGAGAAGCTCGAAGATGGCATAGAAGGTTGTTTGGTGGCTGGTAGCTGAAGGAAGAATTGTTTCTTGTTTCCTTGTTTGAGTTGGTGTTTTATTCCTTTTTTATTGAGTCTTGTTTGTCGAGTACCAGTAGGTATAGGAGATTGTTAATCGAGTCATTCTAGCTAGCTATATAAGTACGTTTATGGCATTGTAATCCGGCAGTTGAAGTTCAATAAAAGAACCCTAGTTCATCGAGTCTTTACAAGCTCTTTGATTGTCCTTGTTGCGTGGAATCAAGTCCATCAACTAGCAAGCTCAGCATTGATTGATTCACCACATCAATCGTGGACGAGTTGCACCTTCGTTGGATCGAGCCTCTTCCCCGAATTCGGTGTTGAAGTTGCACCTTCCACATTCGTTTTACCCTGTTCTTGCCTTGTTCTTTTCGCTTTTCAAACAAAAATCTGAAGCTCTTGAGGAATTACGAGTTCAAATCCGAAGCTCATGGATTGGAGCTTATCACTATACTTGCTCGCTTTTGTGGACGCTCTGACATCGTGCAAGGAAATCTCCTTCCGTTCTTGGGCATTTGTTGTCCTCCTACTATGATTATCATTTCTACATCGTCCTCATTTAGACAAGGCTGCCTATAGGAAGGAATGAGCCACGGAGTTGGAGGGAGTCTTTCCCATCGAGGGGATCGTTCCCGTCTAGGTGACCTAGATCTTCCTCTTCTGGGAGTTTGAGATCTTCTGGGACTTTGAAACTTGTCTCTCATCTCCGCCAGCTTTTCCTTGTTTTATCTTCACGTATCTTGGTGGTTCCTCAAATCACCCGGTGCTAGGTATTTGAGATTGCCATGAATTCGCGACACTCTATGGTGTCATGGGTTGCTAACTGAAGCTAGTCGCACCACTTTCGATCTTTTCCCCCTTCTTTGTGACTTATGCGCATCTTGCGCAATGTAGTCAAAAGTGCATTTATAGGTAGTAGCATTTTGGTGATCTAGAAGCGTAAAATCGTAAGTTTTAAAGTTTTAAAGCGCGTTTTTAACTACATTAGCTATAAAAACTATGATTTTGCGTAGAAATGTAAAACCATAAGTTATTAAGTTTTAAAGCGCGAGTTTGACTACATTGATCTTGCGGTCTTGCAATCTCCTCGTGCACTTTGCTTGTAGCGAATACTTTACTAGGCTTTGATTGGAGATTGACTAAATGGATCAAAGGGATTGTTTCATCGCCAAAGCTCTCGGTTCTAGTCAATGGAGAATGGAGAGTCATCTGGCTTCTTCGTTATGCATTGAGGTCTTAAACAAGGGGATCCCTTGTCCCCTTTTTTGTTTAATATTGTGATGGATGTGTTATCTTTCATACTACAGAAGATCCGGGATGCAGGTTTTTGCACAGGCTTTTGCATGGATGAGAGGCCTGAAGGTCAACTTTGGCAAGAGAAAGTTGTTTCCAGTGGGAGATGTGCCAGAAATCATTAGGTATGCCGAGTTGTTGGGTTGTGATTGAGAATTTCTTCCCACGATTTATCTGAGAATGCCATTGGGGGCGACTACCTCAACAAATACATTATGGAATGAGAGCCTCTCAAAGCTGCACTGGAAATTGTCGGGATGGAAAGAAATTGCATGTCAATGGGAGGGCAAATCATTTTGTGTAACTCCGTTTTGGCTGCTCAACCAGCATATTTGTTTGCCCTTTTCAAAGCCCCTAGAAAGATTATTAATAGCATGAAAAAAGTGCATAGAGACTTCATTTGGAGCGACACGATGGTGAAACAGAGATTGCACTTGGTTTCCTGGGAAAATTGCAAAACACCGAGGAATAAAGGGGGCTTCAGTTTACCTGATCTTGAGTTTCGCAACTTTGTGTTACTGGGCAAGTGGTGGTGGAAGGCTGCAACTGAAAAAGATGCATGGTGGCGTCATTTGCTTGCCTTCAAAAATCCAAATTCGAATACAGAATGGCTGTTGGGCTCGACTCAAGGCAGTATGGGGTGCCGCCCGTGGAGTCAGATCAGCAAACTTAAGCCATTGATCTGGTCGAGAGCCAGGTTTGAAGCTAGATGTGCTTGGCTTTCCTTCTGGCACGACAAATGGACTACGACTGCAACACTTGCGAAAGTATACCCAAGAGTTGTTGCTGTTAGTGTTGTGGTATATGATCCATAATTGAACCTCTCCCAACAACTCGAGTTATTGGGATCAACTGGTTCTTGACATGGTATCAGAGCCTTCTGTGACCGAGAGGTCTTGTGTTCGATTCCCGGTGACCCCCATTTGTTAAGCACATGGTATTTTTGTCTTCAGACCTGTGCAAACTTCAAGCCTTGTCAATCCTAACAGTATGGTACTTGAGAATATCGTTATGGTGAGTGAGAGTAAGAAATTCGAGAATCTTCGAGGGAAAGAACACAACAGAGAAGGTAGTTTGCTGCGGAATCAGGACACTTATCCATAGCTGGCTTACAAGCGCAAAGAAAGTTGACAGGAGTGTCGCCAATACGTGGTTGGAAAACTTGAAAATATGCTTTACTCCCAGGAGAGATGATCGACAGATGAAGTACAGAGTACTGCTCCGGGATGAAGGTGGTGGAGATAATTTTTCATTTGAAGTTTGCAAGGGGTTGAGGATTGTGCTCTATGCCTGGGCAGATCACTTAGTTTCTTCTCAGATCGGATCAGACTCGACAAGTTTTGATTTATTGCAGAGCATCCCAGAAGCCTCTACGGATGGTAGTATTTTTGAGGATGGGAGTGCCATTGGGCGTTGGGAGTGGTATTATAATATTGGAATGTCACCCTGAGTTTTTGGTGAGCCTGGTGTTTTTGGCTCTCTCGATAGTTAAGGCAATTGGTTCTTGAGGGTATCATGCTTATGTAATTTCCACTTAGTAATTTCTTTTCTTTATTAAATTAATGAATGTCGTCATTATAAAAATAAAAAAAATAAGCGATTCATCATTCATATCAACCGATGCAAATAATCACATGTGATGTGATGGACAATAAAACACATGAATTTGCACAAAAATCATTCAGGGTTTACTTTGATTTAAAGGATGTAGGGTTTAGAGATTTAGAGTCGGGGTTTACAATATGGGATTTTTTGTTAGGGTTCAAAATTGAAGGTCTAGGGCTTAGGGGAATGCATTGATTAGTTTTGACTTGTGTTATATCATCATATTAGACTAATCCTACCAATTAAATAAAAAATTCAACCTCTGAAGACTAATTTTAATGTTACCAAAGGTAAGATAGCCTAACGGTAAAGCTGTCGCGACAGTGAAGGCTTGGGAGTTGCTGATCCCAGGTTCGAATCCAAGCGAGGCCTGTTGGTGTTCCCGGAAGTACAAGGCTACTAAGGGCGAAGCCCCGTTGGCGTCGAATTTGATTGCAGGTGGCCCCTAGATTTAGGACCCACTGTCACAAAGTGACACGTGGGGCTGAGGTTCCTAGGTAATCAGGGAAAAAATACTAATTTTAATGTTGGGTGCATCGAATACACTCATTTTTGTGAGTGCAACGAAGTACTCACCTATATATATCATATATGTAGATATACTCCAGATGATCTAGCCATTAGATGTACTTCGACGAGCTCACCTATATATATAATATATGTAGATATATTCCAAGTGATCTAACTGTTAGATGTACTTCGATGAGCTCCGACCCATCTCAATTGTTTTTTGGTGTTTTCTATTAAATTGAACTTTGGATTTGAGTTTGAAGAATCTGAGCCTAGGATTTATCCATTAGAGGTTATGGTATAGTATCGTACCCCAAACTTGTTTTAATTCGTGGTCTAGATAGAGATATATCATTAAGAGTACTTGAAATACAGTATACTCCATGAGTACACCAGTCCGACCTATATATATTGTACTATAAATTAAATCTCCCAGTAAATATTGTTATATATTGACATTAATGAGGCAAGGTGGAAAGCTCATAGTGGGCCGAGCTCGAACCAAACTTGAGCAAAAAATTTTAGTAAACGAGCTAAGCTTACCTCAACTCATTTTTTTAGTTGAACCTGAGCTAAATGAAATCTCGACTCTACTCGACTTGTTTACCGCCCTAGTTGAAACAGTACGTGTTTGAATCACCTAATATCACAAGCTTTAATGACAACGTGAAGCTAGAAAAAGATGGTAAAAGACTGGAATCAAACTGCAAGGTTAGGGGGATCGGAGTTAGAAAGGCACATACCTCTACTGCTAACATGGATTAGTTTCTGTTGTACAAACAAACATTCAAGAGATCCTCCTTGTATCCACAAAACTGCCTTCTTTTCGTTCCTTTACCAAGGCTCTTGTCTTCTCTTACCCCACTGACAATTGATCACTGCTAACTTAATTCTACAACTGTGTTAATCGTTAATAATACATGATTGCTACTACTAACCTACCTGGAAGAAAGTCTACTAATTAACAAAATATTTATACAAAAAAAAGGCAGCCTTCCCCCCTCTCTGCGCATTCAGGACAAAGCAGAGAAACCAGCCAAAAAAGGCAGAGGGAGAGATGCAAGAGAAAAGGAATGGAGAGACTAAGACCCTGTACACATACCTCTCTCTATTTGTCTCCATCTTCCCCCACACTGCTCTGCTCTAGCCCCCCAGTGGTAATTTACATGGAATTTCCCCACATTTTTGGGGAAAATGTCAAAAAAAAAAAGAGAGATGAGGGTAAGAATAAAATTGGTCCTGCAACGAGCGAACATCGCCAAGGTCGACCAAGATCCTTTTCCCTGCTTTGCAATGCACTTCCAGGTACCAGCTTCATCTGTATTAATGCCACGTAAGCCACAGTTACTTTTCCCACCTTTTATGAACCAATATAATCAAGTCACTCCACGGAACGAATGATACCTAACATGCAGAAGAGATTTACTGTATGGGGGAATGTATGTACCTGTACAATGCTGCTATAAGAGCATGCAAACCCAAGCAGGGCTACCGGCTACTGGAACTACTTACATCCAGCAAGACCTTTCATTCCAGCTTAGCATTGCTCGGTCTACTATACAAACTGTCTTGCCCAGTTTGAACGTGTGTTTGTTGCTGAGATGGTTGTTGCTGAGGTGGCTTCTGTAACTGTGGTGAACGTTGTTCTTGCTGCAGTACAGGTTGCTCCTGTGGCTGTATTATCTGCTGAGATTGAGTAGCTGTTGACTGTTGGACTTGTAGTTGTGGTTGCTGCTGCCACTTAGCTGCATGATTTTGCCCCTGTTGGGAAAAACCTCCAGACAACTGTCGTTGGCCTAAGCCTTGGCTGGCAGAGGTCACTGGCTCCCCAGCCGCTGTATTTTGAAGAGACATGCTCCCTATAGTATCCACTTGGGAAGCAGGGATGGTTTTAACAGAATCGTACAAAGTAGGTTCAGACACCATCCATGGTGCTTGAACACCAGAAGTACCAACAGAAACTACATTAGCTGAATCATTACTGACCACAGGTGCTGTAGTCGCACTGGTACCCATCAGTGCAACAGTGTCGGGTGACTGTTGATCGTGCTTATCTGGTAGTGGCTTGGTTGGTGAACCTGAATTCTTCTTACATTTCTGTTGAACCATCCTCTGAACTGTCGATTGAGCTTGATTAGCCTGATGCTTTTGGTGTTGCTGCTGGTTTAAACAACTAACAGCTGACATAGCACCTTGGTGAGAGCCTGTTTGTGCATGACCAGCTGACAACGACGGGACCTGTCCTTGACAGCTGCTATCAGAATGAGACGAGGGCATCTGCTGTAGCTGTTTTGACGAGTGCTGTGATGAACCAGGAAATTGTTTTTGCTGAGGCTGTGGATGGTTCAAGGATTGAGATGACACTCCTGGCTTCGATGATGGTTGTGGTGGTGCTAATCCAGAACCAGAATATAAACCTTGACCAACTTGCATCAAATGCTGCATAATTTGGTCACCTTTCTCTGCCCCTTTGTTACCCATGGCAATGGAAATGCCATTCTTATGAGAATGATCAACAGGTTGGTTCTGATGTACAATCATGTTCCCTCTACCTATACCTTTTACATGCTTCTGTTGAGAAGATTGGGGCTGATGCTGCTGTCGCTGCTGGGGATGACCTCGCCCAGGTTGTTGAAACTGTTGTTGCTGCTGCGGTCGTTGGCGTTGCTTACCCATCTGATTACTAGTAATACCCTGTGGGTTTCTGTTCGGCCCATGATGGGTGGTTAGGTTGACTTTCTGCTGCTGCACTGACATTGGGGATGACTGCGTCAATGGAACTGGCTGCGGTAATGTTTGCGGTAGAATCTGGGGAGTGTCTTGCATTGGCAATGTCACGGGAAGCTGAGGTTGGACATGTGGCATGAGGGTGCTAGATGTAGTAAACTGCTGCTGCTGCTGTTGTTGAAGAAATCGCTGGTGCATCTGCCTTTCTTTAGCTACACGGATTGCATATGCTTGCTGGGGTGAAGCCGTGGCCTGATTTGGTCCTGGAAGATGAGGATTTCCTAGCACATGAGGCTGTTGTGGAGACATTAGGTGCTGTGGCTGAGGGTGGCCTGAAGAATATGTCTGCACATGAGGAGAGATTGTCTAATTAGTATAAGCAGAAGAACTCAACCCACTAAAAGCAGGATGAATTCCTTAGCTGCCTCTCTGTTTGCCCTGCATCTCTGTTACCATCAATCTTTTTTATGCCCTGGGTTTTGACCAGGGCAGAAGTAAACTAAAGACTTTTGTTAATCACCATATGAGCATCCCTAGTGTTGATGCAAAGCAACTTAACCAAATAAACCTTATAGCCCGACATAGCAGACTTGGTAACAGCAAATAGTCAAACTATTGCTGCTTAAAATAGTATTTATGCTCAAAGAATGCATTTACCCGCATCATATGCAATGGCTCGCGTGGTCTCGTCAATGAGTTAGATTGGCCTGACCCTGTTCCAGATTGCATATTTACTCCACCTGGAATCCCACTCACACTAGAGGAAAGCATACTACTAGAATTTGACACCGGTGACGGGGTTCCCTGAAAACCAGGCCTCGATAATGGCATGTTTCTATTCAGCCCAGGCATCATGCCCATACCATTTCCACCAGGTAGAGGGCCAGAAACAGAAAGGTTAGAAGACTGCTGCAGGCTTCTTCCTGGCAACATTTGGTTAAAATGTTGTGTTCTTGGGTGCTCGTGAGCACGTAAAGACGTTCTTGGAGCACTGAATCTACCATCCCTAGTACATGAAATAAAAATCTGAGTCAAATGTTAGGGCAAAAAAAACTTACTGTCTTATATCTTATAAACTCCATTACGAGAAATCCTAATGAAACTCGGACTACCTAGAAGAAGCAGGGAGCGATCCAGATGGTGATGGTGACGATGTATTGTTACTTAGAGCCATGCTTGAGGAGCCTTGCACGCTAGGATTCACAGCAGAAGCGGGAAGCGTTGATCCAACAACACCTTGACTTGGCATTGGCAAACCACTAGCATGAGACCCTTGATACCCAAGGATGTCTGGACTTGAAGGATTCATATCACACAGCTCAATAGGCCTTCACCGAGAGAACGACATTTCAGAACGGCTTTTCCAAAAATGATTAATGCAGACAGAATAAACTGAAGAGCGGGCCATGATAAGCCCATATAGCAAGGTAACATGCAAATTTGCATGTCAAACTTACGTTAGGATGCTTCCATTTAGGTTATTTGGGCAAACTTGGGAAAGAGCAATCACATGAGAATTGTGAACTGGTATCTGCTTAGGATCCTGGGTATCATTCTACAAAACAGACGGCAAAAATCATATAAAGAAAGTCAGCCAAGATTTTGAGATAGGCAAACAGTGAATAAATTATTAGAAAGTATCTACTGTCCTAGGTTCCATTGTACCTGACTCATGCCACGATCTATTTAAGCTGTGGCAATAAAAATATATAACCTAGACAAGATGGTCATTATTTCACTTCAGTTGCTGAAGTTTCACACCTCAAGCCCAAGAACTGTAAGATCATCCTAAAACAGAGCTACTGAAAGTATCTACCATTGTCTGAAACCATAGGAACAGCCTTGAATTGCTAATCAGCCTGACGAGAAAACACTTACTATTATAGCCCTTGAGCATGTTAATACGAACAATACAAGTATACACTGCATGAACCAACCTGACTCCTCCCATAATGCAGCTTCTTGCCGATCATAATAATCTTTTCAAAATGGGACTTCAGAGTATCCTCTTCCATTGGCCCTTGCAAGCGTTGAAACAGCTGTCGAGCACTACCCTGAAGCATTAACACCGTGGTAAGTTAGTTCCATTTAAAATAGACAAGTCACTACGGAGCACTCCAGCAGCCTTTATCCCTGTTTCTCAACAAATCATTTTGAAGTTTAGTGAACGTGCCTTCGGGATGCCAGGCAAGGTTGACGGATATGATTGCGAAGTCCCTGAATCTTCAGCACTGTCAGCACCATCTCCAGCACCCTTGTCCATCAGAACTTTATGCCGCTCCTTGCACTCTTTCGATGCACGAAATATGCACTGACAGGATCACCAAGATCCAAGAGAAAATTCAAAAACTATTAAATAAAATTGCTTCGATAACATTTATAAACAAAGGAAGCTCAATAGCAGGAAGAACATGAGACATATCTAGCAGTAGAATGAACCAAACTCCAGGTAGACTGACATGGGTAATCACCTTAAAATGAAGAGTGCTATTGATAGCATCGCTTACAAGCTCCCAATTAGGACCCATATCATGTACAAGGACGACAAGTGCCTGGGATACAGAAATCGGTACATGTTGCCAATTTGAGGAGCCTACTCGGTAACAAAAACCAAAAAGAGCAAGATCAAGGAATATGCAGGATACCTGATCCTCGAAGAGGGACCATGGACTTCCAAACCCAGGCTGGCCAACAGAAATCTGTTGAGAAGAGCATTTGTTCACATCATCTAAGAGTTTATATGTCCAGCAGACAAACTGACAAGTTATAGGAGAACACAAATCATGAGCCCATACCTTCAAGGACTTGGGTTTCCTTCCTTTGTCCCTGCCATTGATCAGTCTCATAAACCTATTTGTGCTGGGCATATTACTCATCTGGGAAGCTGCTGGGGAAGGAATAGACCCAGTGGATGGAGCTACATTGTCATAGGCATCTAGTGATTGCTTCAGCATCTTTGGCTTTTTCCAAGTGTGTTGCCCATATAGACCTTAAACGATAGAGGCAGAAAACTTTAAGCACCATCCACACCCACAATTAAGAATCCAGTCAACACATGATGAAAAGTGGTCTTACCACTCTTTCCGTTAGAGTCAAAATGATGATTCTCCAGTCGCTTTTTCTGGTGCTCTCTCTACAAGTAGAAAAGAAACATCAGATAAGATATACGAATATCAGGAGAAACATAAGCAACCATTTTCACCAACGATTGCTACACAATACCAAAATACTAGTGATTCTATGATTGTTATTACATCAACTGAAGCACAGAAGACACCTAAAAGGAATCCATGTGACCTCCAGCACAGCTTTAATCTTTTACAAGTGCCATTCCCTAGCCCCACAGCCGGACCACCAAAATTTTGGGATAACAGGGAGACAAGTCCCTCAGACCAATTAGTACTCATGTAAATTGCAATCAACAGCATACATGCCTGCACTTATACAGAACCAACAATCAAGACTTCTAAGAAGCCAGCTAAATCCGTAGTGGTCCCAACCAGCCTCCAGTATTCCTACTTACAAGCACTTCGGTGTCTATGCTTTACTTTTCCACCAAACAAATTAATCCAGCAAATCCTTTCTTGAACAAAAGCTATTCAATTGAGCTTTATATTCGTAGTATCGTGCTTTTTAGCTATAAGAAAATTGTTCAGACCAGAGTATCTGGTTCCAATATTAAAAATTGTACAAATATCCATTAGCTAGCATAAAGCTCAAAAAACACCTATGTGGAGGGAGGTCTCTACCAGAGTGGAAATTTTTTTAACTTTTTGCCCCATGCCATATTTGTATTAAATGTAAGCATTCGTTTCTGTTAGGTCTGGAATATGCTAGTTAAAACTTATGTCAAATCATAGTTCATAAAAAGGACGCATAAGATCACTATATTCACATAAGAAATGCAATTGAAGTAAACAAGCTTGGATGACCTGTTCAACAAGAGCGGTTGAATCATGCTGCCACCTCTGCTCGTAAGCAGAACCCTGCATTTGATAAGTAAGGAACAGCTTAACCAGAAGCAAACAAGGAGCTACATAAGAGACTACATTATACTTGTAAGAAGAGACTCCTAGAGCATGGATTACCAGATGCCTAGACTTCTTCTTCTTCTTTGGCTTTGTCATAATATCTGAGCAATCATAAGAGAGATGTTTTTCAAAGTCGCTAATAGAATCAACCTCCATGCCTTTTTGGATTTGTGAACCACCATGCAAGGTGCTCTGATCATCCTGAAAAGAACTTGTGTCTCCGCTTGAAGCATCTGTCTTTGCTGGAGCAGATGGACCTGTAGGAACTCCATTGCTAAAAGGACTAATAACCCTCTGCCGAGAAGCAGTGCGCATACGCTTTGGTGGAATTGGGCCAAGGTTACTAGCAGGTCGTTTCCCCATCAATGTATTTTGAGGACCCACAGTTCCATATGGCACATCAGTTCCCACTTCATATGATCTTGTTGGGAATGATTTCAGTGAGTGTGTCCTTTTCTTTTGATCATGTTTCCTTGGCCTGCTACTTTCAAATGCTCCATGCAAATAATATGTACTAGTTTCACCTTCATCCTCATCATATCCATTCTCAGGATATCCAAAGTCTGGGTTTGATATAAAATGCCAATAAAAGTTAATTGTATTTACCTAATTATTAGAAAGGTTATACAATCACATTCAAAACATTATCCAATTACCTGGTCCGGCATCAAGCATGGATGTATCACCTTCCTCTTGCATGCTGCTCACTGTTTTCTGAAGTGAAAACAAACATTAAGTGACAGAGAAAATGAAGTGCCTACAATTTACGACACAAGCTATGTCGAAAGGACTAAATGGCTCCAATTACACCGTATTTTTAGAACATAATAAATTCATTGTAACAGCTAAGCAACTACAAACACACTAGCCACACTCCTTCCATCCTAATAATTTGTGTATGAAAGTTATATATTTAGGATAAAAATGGAGTAGTAACGTCAACAATGATCAAAGGCACATCAATGACATGTAAACTTACCTCGAACTGAACCAAGTGTGATTCAATTGAGCTTCTGTAGGAGTCCATTGCGCCTGAAGGAACGGCATAGAACAAGCTCTCCTGAAAAAGAAAGAATCATGCAAGATAAACAAGCGGAGGGATCTTACATTCAGGGTAAACTATAAGGTAAAATAATTTAAAGAAGTTCATATTCTGTGGCAAGAACTTACTAAGAAATATAAATCCAGAAAATATAGAGATGCCATGACGAGTCATATGTCATAATTATATAAATAAAAACAATCTGGATAAAAAGATGGCAAGTCATACTTCAGTCAAGTGATCATCCCATGAAACTTCCATAACTCCAGCATCGCTTACTAGATCTGGAGTTGTAGGCTGTTCTGCTTGAATTGCAGGAACTGGAGAGCTGTTAAATTTCAAAAATCTCGCAGCATATCCCTTAATATCATTCTTTCTGGGACTTTGTTGCTCAAATTCTTTGCATGCACCCTGCTGATTGACGAAAGGACAATGACTCGTGTTATTATCTCTTTGCTAAAAATCGAGCAAACTTTTCCAAGTTAGCAGCAACAACTAAGAGTATGAATGCATTGCTACCACATAGTAGTATTGAGACAAACGGTGAAGTAAATTTCAAACTAAACAAAGTATAAGAAACAGTTAGAAATATTCAGTTTCGAAAACAAAGAGATATTATAGATGAATTCGTGTAGATCCTAATATAATCTCCCAGAAATAAATTGGTTTAAGGAAAGATGCCAATTTTCAAAAGCAATCATCATACTTCTGATGAGATAAAAATATCACCTTTACAGCAGCAGGTTTGTCCTCATCAATGTCTGTAATTGGACCATGACTTTTATCAGAACACAGAAGCATTTCTGCCGACTGCCAGAACTGCATCACTGCTTTAGCCAGGGTGTAGGAGACTTTTTGTAGCTTTAAACATTGATTTTGTTGCTCCAATCTCAACCGAGAAGTAAGTGTCACACGCCGGCATATTTGTGCAGCAGCAGTCATCTTCCAAAGACGCTCCTGCATGGGGATATTTTATGGAACCATAAGAAATTATATCTCGTTCTACATTATTATCAACTGGAACTAGCACACCAACATATTAACTGTTATCTAGAACGACTTGTATCAACAATGTATCTACCAAGTAAAGAAGAAGGCAGAAATGGAACTTCCACCTATGGCATTACAAACCAGACCTGTGCAAAATCATTAGCCAACCAAGTCATTTCTTCAAGGACAAATTCCCAGTGAGACATTTTCCGGGCCTCCACCTGTGCTACTCCAAGAGATAATTCAGCAATCCTCTTCCTCTTAGCCTGTACAGGTTTGGTATGACATCGTGAAAATTTTTATGAGAAAATGGAAATTGATTCCCTCACCAAGTTAGAAAAAGATAGTGTAAGGATTAAACCTCTATACTCCGTGCTTCTTCCAATATAGAATCTTCACGGGCCCTGTTTATCTTGATGTCCGGATAAGAATGAAGTTCAGCAGCAGAAGCAGAAGCAGAACTGTTTTCCGGCAATTGAGATTTCAGTTGCTCCTGCTGCAAGGAGAGATCTGAAGGGTTCTCCATTACATAAGAGCCACCATTTACCCTGTTGGAGATCAACTCATTATCCAATGATGTAACAGCATTTTCAATGCTCACAGGTTCAGTAATCTCATTTTGATGTATTTCTTCAAGATTTGGGGTGCATTTATCCCCATTTTGAGGACCAGAAGACTTTTCAATATCTTCTATTTTTGCTGCCACACCATTAGCAGAAGCGCCTTTAGACGTACAGTTGATGCCAGCATCACCAGAAGCATTATTCCCTACAGCGGCACTATCATCCCTATCTTTACCAGTTTCTGCAGCAGCTGAATTCTGTGTTCCTTTAATTTCTGTTGCTTGTTTCAAATAAACTTTGTTAGAATCCTCCTCCCTATGGTTAATACACAAACTGCTTCCATTATTTACATCTAAGCTAAGGCTACTTGGGGTGCAAGAAGAATCTGAATCCAATCCCTTAGTCACTTTAGTGGCACCAACATTTTGACCAACATTTTCATTTGCTTTCCGGTCACTGAAGTCATTCAAAAGTGCAGAACCAGCTTCAACCTCTGATCTCTCCACAGCTACACAAGGCGAATACTCAAGACCAACTGAAACTACTTGTTCATTTCTAACATTTTCATCACATATCCTGACAGTATCATCCGCTGGTTGTTTCTGAGTATCAATCCCAACAGGTTGATCTTTTTCCTTATCTTTTACAATATTGGACTCTCTCGCATCCAATTTATCAATAGGACTACTTTTAGGCGCCTCAGTTGCCTGCAGAGGCTGCACTTCCACCATCTGGGGGATCATTTCCCCATTTGAAGTTGTAGGTTTGGGCTTACAGGCAGAGGGGACTGCATTGTCTTTCTGATTGTTTGACTCAGATATCAACTTAATATTCCTAGATCCCCTGGGAAAGGAAGATCCATGGACACCAGAATTCTGAATCACATCACCTGAACTTGATCTAGTACCATCTCGATTTGGCCTAGACCTATTCCTTCTAGCATATGGACGAACTATAGCAGAATCTTCAGACTCTTTTGCATTCTGAGCTCCTTCAATTGGCAATGACTGCTCAGACAGAGCAACACCATTCCTTTTGATGAGATGCCTATGGTTTCGGTCACCTCCAAGCAAATCATTTTGACCATCAAAATTATCAGCACTGTTAGGTTCGCAAACTGTCGTAGGCCCAGGTTGACCACTACTTTCAACAGAATCCCCATGGGGTGATGCAGTCAAAGGGAAGCTACCTTTAGCTTTGCTATAGTTACACCATGTGAAACAGAAGAAAAATGATTACTACATCAGTCACCTTATTAGATGTACAGCCACAAAAATCGGGCACATCAGAGTGGTATGTATACCTAGTCACAACATGTTCTGCCTGATGATAAGTGAGTGACGTGGACTGGACGCTAATTGAAGCAGCATTGCCAAATTTAAAGTCCAAAGGATTGCCACCCTATGGAAGAGAACTATTAGAGCATTCACAGGAAACAGACAAAGGTTGGGAACAGTGAAACAGATTAGAATTTCCATACCTTCTCAAGAAATTCAAGCTCCCTTCTCCTTTCCTCGCGAACATCATACTCCTGCCTGTTAATCGCCAAAGGATGGTTGCTAATAAATAACAGTAAAATGGATGATTTTAGTGGTAAATATACTACAGTATGTAAGGATTACCTAAGCTCTGCCTGAGCCTTTTCAATCGCTGCTCTGCGTGGAGAGGTTTTGATGCCAATACCAACTCCGCCGTCAACAACCCCTCCCATGGAATCAACCTCAGCATTTACTAAGAAATCAGACCGCGAGTAACATCCATGCATTACTAACTCACTGACTGACAGCTTTCCTCTACCATTGCTTCAGATAGCTATAAATTAGAAAACAAATTAGACAAACAATTAGAGCTGATAAAAGTGGACACAGTGAGACACAAGTGTATTTTTCTAGTCTATAAAGCTTAGAACCAAATAGGCACCAGACTTATTGGGAAAATATGTAGGGTCCTCTGGAAGTTATTTCAGGTTCAAACAATCTGAGCAGCAAGATAAAGGAGGTAAATTTTCAATTTTTAGCAGACAAATTGATTAATGCCACAAATAATTGTTTAACAGCAATGACACTGTACAAGCTACGCCTATCTTTATTCCAGCAGAAGAGGAGTAAAATGGCAATTCAGTCCAACATCATCATATTTTAGGGGGATGATCAACCAATATGGCCGCTGATAAACCTAAATGCAAGTACAGCAAAATGATCTAGCTCACTAAAGCTTTGTACAAAAGAAGTACCAAGAGCTCAACTATCTGCAGTCAACTTCCAAATTATTTTACTTCACTATTGATAAACGGAAGCATTTGTCAAGCATTCTCTTTGAGGAGCAATACAGCCATTGGACTCTCTGAACTAATGTTTCGGACCGACATATTAGCAAATGCTTGCACTCTCACAGAAACCAACTCATTGGACTCTCTGTACTCATGTTCTGGACCAACATATTAGCAAATGCTTGCGGTCTCACAGAAACAACTCTGAAAGAACATGTTCTAAATGCCTAAGAATCATTGAGGTTATGACATGCATCATCAGAAAAATCTCATACAGCAAGTGGTATATGGCACCAAAGTTGAAAACAACGACGAGCTAGCATTTTATGTTCTACATGCAAGCATCAACATTGGCACAGCGAACATTACCTAGGTTTATACTGTTATAAAATTTTAAATTTTACTAAAGTTTAACCATAAGCTCCTAACCCTGTTCCCTCTATAATAACAATACCTCTTCGTCAGCACCACAACGACCAACAGTGCACCCATTTTTCCTAGAACAGATAAATGAAGCTCTTCATACCCACAACCAGGGTGCCCGCCATAACAAGATTAAGTATATATCTGGTTAGAGGTTTAACGGAAAGGCCGGGCTGGGCTGGGCTGAGCCGAGCCACGAAATGATATCCAGTCCCAATCAAACAAATCGCTACAAACATGAAATGTGTCCTAGGAACACTCTGCACAAGAAGCTAACCAACTGTCCTGCAACCCGGGAAGACAGAGTAAATGAGCATGCTGCCATGGCCCATGAGTATGTACTGGATGAGCATAAACAACTAAGTCCACAACATTCCCTCAATAAGTGATAAACTGAAGTAGCTCAGGAATCACAGACACGAGCAAAGCTTAGTTACAGCAATTGAAACTCTCTGGAACAATGAAGCAACAGGGCAGCAGTTGACAGAGAGGAGAGGGGGTATTCCTGGAGTACTCAAACAAAATGCATAACACCAGCACAACTAAAACGCATTGGCGTGGCTTGCCCCAGACAAAACAAACCCTAATTTCGCGAAATCACGCAGAATTTGCCACGAATTCAGCACTGCGCCAGGATTCTAGGGTTTGCAGAGCAACACGTAAGGAGCAAGGAATTCACCTGAATTGCGAAAGCTTCGAAGAAGCTTAGGGCAACGGCAGTAGGGCAAATTTGAAACCTCGTCGTTCCCCCCCGCTCGTGAGTTTTGACACTTGGTTTCTCTCACCTAGGGTTTTCTTTCTTTTTTTCCCCCTTCCTTCGTTCCCTCCCCCCGCCTTCGTTCACTCTCTCACAACACACAATCAATAAAAATTGACCTACAAGAGAAGGGAGTTGGCGCAAATGTCAGCCATGGAAAGCTTGCTATTGCAATTTCTCATCGTATATTGGCCCCCTCTGAAAAGTGGTTTTGGAAGAAAAAAAAAATTGTTCCTCGCTCAGAGTTTCCCCCTTCTTTTTCGTTTGTGTTCGCTGGGTGTATGTTTTTTTTTTTTTTTTCTTCTTCCCTTGCTTGTTTGCCTTTACTCAAACTTTCTCTCTCTCAGGTTTGATTTTCAAAGGAGTGGGGGTACGATGCGTACGGGAGCGAGACGGACCAGAGCGAGATTGAGTGCTGAGTAGAGGTGGCAAATGGATTGGATTGGTGGATTGGATTGGTAGATCCATGGATCAAATGGATTGGTGGATTCATGAATTGGATCAAGTGGATTGGTGGATTATCCATGAATCCAAATGACATCCTCAACCAAGGACCAATATGTAAAATGTAAAAAGTTTAGGTACTAAAATGTCACAATGAAAAATTTTAGGTACCAAAACGTAATTTTTCAATGATATTTTTCGAATAAAAAATTAAATTTTAGGTACCAAAATGTAAAAAATAAAAATTATAGGTACTAAACCGTAATTTGCCAATGATCCATGGATCCAATCCATGAATCCACCAATCCAATTGGATTTGGATCAAATTGATTGGATTTAAATGGATTGGATTAGGTGGATATTTTTAATGGATTGATGGATTGGATTGGTGGATTGGATTGAAATTGCCACCTCTAGTGCTGAGTGTCCGTGGTAGTAGGGGTGTACATGGGTCGGGTGGTTCTGGTTTAGTCATTTTAATCATCCGATACATGCACTACGGTTTGAGAAATATCAAACTCAAACCCACCCAAAAAAATTTAAACCCTACGGTTTGTTTCTAATTGGGTTGGGTCGGGTTGGCGATATTTTAAGTAAAAACCCAACTCAACATAAAATATATATAATTATTCTATATCATAAAAATATTTTATAACTAATTAAAATTTCAGACGAATGAACCGAGGTGAAAGGTATAAAAATTCACAACTGTTGTTTGAATTTTAATAAAATGTTATCTACTTCAACATATGTCTCTTTTTTCACAATATTTGTTGAAATAGGCTAAAAAGGTTATAAACAAACGCATCAATAATATGTTATTCTATTAAAATTGTACACAAGAAAAAGGATTACCTGAATCATAACTATATTCAATTTATGTCTAAACTTTAAGTCGAAAAATGCATTAGATTAGGGAGACCATAAGAGAAAAACATGTCGAAATATCTTAATTTCTCATAAGTATATGACTATATATGACAAATATTTTTTAGATCCGAACTCATACTAATAGTTGGAACACAGGTTGGGTCGGGTTCTACGGGTTGTGTAATCCAAAATCCAAACCCAACCCAAAAGAGGCGGGTTGTACTAAAGAAAACCCTCACCCAACCCAAAACCTTCGTTTTAGCGATAAATACGGGTGGGTTGGGTTGGGTTTGTGGGTGAGTTTGTTCACCCCTACGTGGTAGTGCTTAGTGCGCGTGGGCTTGGCCTTGGCCTTGGCCTTGGGTCTAACCACGATGAAGACGACGAACCAACGGAGAAGGCTAAGATTCGATCATGTTTTTTTTTTCAAAGATATTCCCGAAAGGGAACAACTAGATACGAGTCGGAAGCCTTTTCAGGCAACCATAATAATACATATAAGAGAAAGGGACGACGGTCAACAAATAGCTGAACCATCGATAAGAGAGCCTTTTTCGTCACGCAACGGGCAGCTCTTTATACCTGTACGGCATGGGCAATATCCATGATTTTACCCTAAACAAGTGAAAATCACATAATTAACCACGCTGAAAGTGAAGCAGAGAAGCAAATCCTTGCAATTTTGGTAGGAAGAATCACCTACAAAATTAGCAAACACATGATCCAATGCAAAAGGAGCAGTATCACCTTGCTGGCAGGAAGAGTCACATTGGCCCAAATAGCATGTGTCATCTTACCCGCCCTGCTACCATAGCTCGGTATAAACCGCCAACAACGCACTTCCACTCCCAAAAGATATCACCATATTAGCAAGAATCACCGAGACAAGCACCTTTGTCACAATCGGTCAATAAATGGGGAAGTAACTAATTCTGCGAGCAGCACCACCTGCAAGGCTAGAAAACAAGGCCCAAACAGGCCCACCAAAAGATTGTCACTAAAAAAGCTCTAATGCTCGAATAAGCAATGATTCCGGGCGAAGCCCGCAAAGCCTAAATCTTGACGTCACGCTGGTATGGGTTAGAGCCATAGAGGCAATGCCACGTGCCCTTCACACCACTGCTTCTGGGTGCATAAGTCCTTGAAGAGTTATCCACTTCACCGTCACACCGCCATCGCCGCAAAGAGCCAGGAAAAGCCTGGAGGGAGAAGAAACGTCGAGGTCAGATCTGCCGATCTTCCCCAACCGCCATTACCTCAGGATCACCGCCGCCTTCTTTCTTCTTCACTTGCAAAACAGAGGTACACAAAGAAACAAAGCAGGTCCAAAGGAAACCAAGAATCTAGAAAAAATAGCAGATAGGGCATAGAACAATTAGCAATACATGCGAGTAGGGCTGGAAGTTTGGTACCGGTATTTGGGATATACCGAATACCGTACCGAATTTGTCTATATTTGGTATTACCGAATACACGTATTATTTTGTGGGATTGGGATTGGGATTGAATTTCAATTGTTATTTGGTATTAGGGATTACGGGATTGGGATCGGTATATACCGAAATACCGATTCAATACCGAAATATAAGCTAGTGTGTATTTAATCCTCTCAACTAGACTCTCTCATTCACTACTACGCGACCATCAACCACCAAATTCGTCATTTAATTATACATAGATCATTACATCACTATTTCACACTAGTATTAGTCGTCTCTCAACCTCAAATTCGTCAAATTAAAGATTACCAATTACAAGAATTTGAGATGTTAGCTCTAGGCAACTCAAGACTATTTGCTTAGTCTCTTTGCCCTAAATTAAACAATAAAATCTAATTTATATATTTAATTATTAATTGTAAAGGTAATTAATTATGTATTCGATAATACCGATTGGGATACCGAGGTACCGATTGGGATACCGAAATTATTTAGGGATTGGGATTGGGATTGATTTTAGGGTGTAATTCGGTATTCGGGATTTCGGTATTTGGTATTGGGATACCGATACCGTACCGATTTCCACCCCTACATGCGAGGGAGTCAAAACAAGAAGCAGAAAAATCCAACGTAATATAAATAGAATACACCTTGATAGAGAAACACCTATGTTACCATACTAAAACATGCAACAAAAGCAGAGGAAGCATGCATCAAGAACTCAGATTCAATGAAAATAGAGATCAATAAATCGAATCCCAACGGACTCCATAGGACTCCAAAGAGAATTCCTAATTGAGGCATTGACATAGGTAGAATCCAAACCATAGCATCAACAAAGACATCTAAAGAGATAAAGAACAAAAAGAAAGCGAAAGGGATTATCCAGGGAAGAATTCGAGCGAGGACGCAGATCTGAAATGGCAGAGATGGGAGACAGGGGAGCTGAGGATTGCATGTCCCAGTTGGCAGGGGACTGACTCTGTCGCGGAAGGAGGATAAGAGTGGTGCTGGAATTCGATGGCGGCCACTGAAAATGGCAGGGGATAGCTCAAGTTTGAAGGCGCTGAGAGGGCTAGGATCGATGAGGGCAGTCGAGCGATGGAGCAGGGAGCTGGAGCCGAGATGGGGAACGATGGCAGGAGGGTGCTCGTCGTTGATGATGCGCTAACCGGCACTGATTCTCGTGAAGGTGTATGATGGGATGCCGGGGAGTCGGAGCGGCAACCGGAACAGAAGAAGGGACCTTTCTTTAGCAAGAGCGATACTCGGGAGAACGACGGCGGAAGGTGAGATCGGAGGGATAGGGGAAGCAGTAGTGAGGCGGCGAGGAAGCGGCGGGGAGGATTTGTCAGAGAAAGCGAAAAGGTTTTTTTTCCTTCTTGTAAAAGAATAGATCATTCATTGTCTAAGATCCGATCATGTTGGTCCATAACATAATTGTTTTCATCTTTTTTAATGAATATTTATCACCTTCCCGACTAATTATATATATTATTGCTCGAGATAGTAATCAGACTCGTGATCGTGAGAACCCCACTCATTTCTAACTTAGTTAATTTTGTACTAATTGGATACGATGCGGTAGGTATAGGTTAAACATGTTAAGAGTTTGATGTGGCGGATGTGTTTAATTTTAGGTTCTCCAACCACATACTCATCATACACACAACTGTCACATCAAGGATATATTGTCATGAATAAAAAAAAGTATAGACATTATATTGTAACTTGTCAATGACAATAATGATAAAAAAAATAAAGGGATGAAATAGTGAAATATAATTGAATGATCATCCAAAACAAACCCTAATTTATCTCCCTCAAATTGTCATTCACTCTTTCAATCGTCGCCCTCCACTCTGGCAAACACAGATGTTTTGTTCTTCAATTCACTTTCTCTCACGTATTTAATTTTTTTTATTTTTGCTTACTATGCTGCTTATTCTCTTTTGTGTGCTCCTCATTCGTCATTTTATTCTTTAGCGGATCCACAATTGATCCTTTGTTGTTTTTTCGCATCACTCATCCTGGTCTTTAAACTCTCCTTGATTTTTGCTTTCTTCTTCTGCTTCTAATTCTTTGAGATTTGACCGCCCAATGGCAATCGATTCCGACTTTACTAATAAGGTAATGAGTTGAACACAAAGTCGCTTTTTCGTATCGGGGTTCAAATTGATTAGGCTATTAATTCGGATCCAATTGTACACATTTTACCCCTCTTATCTTGATAGTTTGGCTTTGCATTTCATCATCCCTCGACATATTTCACGCTAGGTTGTGCTTGTTTTGATACATTTTAGGTCTTAGCACGTGTGGGAAGGTCGAGGAAGAGTTTCGAGGAGATTGGAGGTCGAAAAGTGACAAAAAGTGAAAAAAACGTACCGTGACAATTTCCTAGTAACAGTGAAGCGCAGGTGTCCATGAAGCAGCTGCAGGTCACGACCTGGCATTGGAGTTCACGGCCTCTAAGGCTGTGAACTGGAACCACAACCATTAATAGCGAGGTGTCCTGGAGGGTTCCAGAGGTTACTGACGACAAGGCATTTCACGGTCTCTAAGACCATGAACTTGGAGCACAAATCATGAACCCTGGAGAGTGAAGCGGTGCATTTTGGAGACGACGTTGAGTTTACA